TCTACTAACTTTGGGTTTTGTTTGTTCTTCTTTCTCTAGTTCCTTTAGGTGTAAGGTTAGATTGTTTATTTGAGATTTTCCTTGTTTCTTGAGGTAGGATTGTATTGCTATAAACTTCCCTCTTAGAACTGCTTTTGCTGCATCCCTTAGGCTTTGGGTCATCGTGTTTTCATTGTCATTTGTCTCTAGGTATGTTTTTATTTCCTCTTTGATTTCTTTAGTGATCTCTTGGTTATTTAGTAACGTATTGTTTAGCCTCCATGTGTTTGTGTTTTTTATGTCATTTTTCCCTGTAATTGATTTCTAACCTCATAGTGCTGTGGTCAGAAAAGATACTTGATATGATTTCAGTTTACTGAGGCTTGATTTGTGACCCAAGATGTGTGTACATTCTCCTGGAGAATGTTACAAGTGCACCTGAGAAGAAAGTGTAATCTGCTATTTTTGGATGGAATGTCCTATAAATATCAGTTAAATCTATCTGGTCCATTGTGTCATTTAAAGCTTGTGTTTCCTTATTAATTTTCTGTCTGAATTATCTGTCTGTTGGTGTAAGTGAGGTGTTAAAGTCCCCCACTATTATTGTGTTACTGTCTGTTTCCTCTTTTCTAGCTGTTAGCAGTTGCCTTATGTATTGAGGTGCTCCTATGTGGGGTGCAGATATATTTATAATTGTTATATCCTCTTCTTGAATTGATCCTTTGATCATTAGTAGTGTCCTTCCTTGTCTCTTGTAACATTCTTTATTTTAAAGTCTATTTTATCTGATATGAGTATTGCTACTCCAGCTTTCTTTTGATTTCTATTTGCATGGAATATCTTTTCCATCACCTCACTTTCAGTCTGTATCTGTCCCTAGGTCCGAAGTGGGTGTCTTATAGACAGCATATATATGGGTTTTGTTTTTGTATCCATTCAGTGAGCCTGTGTCTTTTTGTTGGAGCATTTAATTCATTCACATTTAAGATAATTATCGATATGTATATTCCTGCTACCATTTTCTTAAATGTTTTGGGTTAGTTTTTGTAGGTCCTTTTCTTCTCTTGTGTTTCCCGCTTAGAGAAGTTCCTTTAGCATTTGTTGTGGAGCTGGTTTGGTGGTGCTGAATTCTCTTATCTTTTGCTTGTCTGTAAAGCTTTTGATTTCTCTGTTGAACCTGAATGAGATCCTTGCTGGGTAGAGTAATCTTGGTTGTAGGTTCTTCCCTTTCATCACTTTAAATGTATCATGCCACTCCCTTCTGGCTTGCAGAATTTCTGCTGAGAAATCAGCTGTTAACGTTATGGGAGTTCCCTTGTATGTTATTTGTTGTTTTCCCCTTGTTGCTTTTAATAATTTTTCTTTAATTTTTGTCAATTTGATTACTATGTGTCTCGTTGTATTTCTCCTTGGCTTTATCCTGCCCGGGACTCTGCACTTCCTGGACTTGGGTGGCTATTTCCTTTCCCTTGTTAGTGATGTTTTCAACTATCATCTCTTCATGTATTTTCTCTGGTCCTTTCTCTCTCTCTTCTCCTTCTGGGACTCCTATAATGTGAATGTTGGTGCATTTAATATTGTCCCAGAGGTCTCTTAGGCTGTCTTCATTTCTTTTCATTATTTTTCCTTTTTCTGTTCTGTGGCAGTGTATTCCACCATTCTGTCTTCCAGGACACTTATCCATTCTTCTGCCTCAGTTATTCTGCTATTGATTCCTTCTAGTGTATCTTTCATTTCAGTTATTGTATTGATCATCTCTACTTGTTTGTTCTTTAATTCTTCTAGGTCTTTGTTAAACCTTTCTTTCATTTTCTCGATCTTTGCCTCCATTCATTTCCCTAGGTCCTGGATCATCTTTACTATCATTATTCTGAATTATTTTTCTGTAAGGTTGTTTATCTCCACTTCATTTAATTGTTTTTCTGGGGTTTTATCTTGTTCCTTCATCTGGTACGTAACCCTCCGTCTTTTCATTTTGTCTGTCTTTCTGTCAATGTGGTTTTCTTTCCACAGGCTACTGGATTGTAGTTCTTGCTTCTGCTGTCTGCCCTCTGGTGGATGAGGCTATCTCAATAAATTACTAAATTTTTAAGATCTCGTTTCTTCATGCCATGAATGAAGATCTAGTTTCTTCATGCCATTATAATTCAAAATTATAATGGAAAGAACGAATGCATGACAGAATTTAAGAAAATTTTGAGAAAAAGCAGAGGAGGAATTATTCTACAGATAGTAGTACATATTATATATGTATTTAAATAATGAGGAGTGTGAAACTATCATGGGGACAGGACCTGCCCCCGCCCAAAAAAAAAACCTTGAAGACACTTTAAATGCATGTATTTGGAAAGTCATAGAGAGAGTAAAATTAGTGATTCCTCAGTGGGAAAAGTATAGATTATCTGTGAAATTATGGTGTTCAACACCTAGCTAACTTTATCAGTCAGCAATTTTGGTTGAAAATAGCAGAAAATAATTCTGGCAAGTTTAAGCAGAGATAGATTTACAGAAATCATATTGGGCAGCTCTCACAGTCAGTGGGGAACCAAGCTCAAAAGGTGACGGCATCCAGAAGATGCGAAGAAACTAGGAATAGATCCTCCCTTGAGCCACTGGACTAGGATGGTTAGGATGCTGCTGTGCTGCTGAAGCATCTGCTAGATCCCACTGCTGCCACCATGGCCAAATTCTAATGATCCCTGCATGTTTCACTCACTCCCTTAAGACTCTGAGACCCGGGCAAGAGCATCCAAAGGCAGAGCCTAAGTCACAGGCCTGCATCTTACCTTGGGTGTTGGGAAAGGGATATCTGCCCACCTTCGGTACTGTGGTGAGAGGCAGGGCCCTGGTGCATCAAGTCAGATAGGAAGGTGTCCAAATGCTGGGGAGCCAAAAATTTCCACTAACATTTGGAATAACTAAAATTAGAATCGTCCTTTATATCATAGGCCAAAATAAATTCCACGTCTATTCAGAATGTAAATGTGAAACTTGAGACCATAAAAGTACTTAAAGAAAATACACATGAATATTTATGTAATCTTGGCTTGGGAAAGTTGCTAAGCATGATATAAAAATCAGAAGGCCATTAAAAATGTCAGTAGCGAATATTTAATGATCCAGAAAGGGAACCATGGTCTGTTAAATTTTTTAAAAAATAAAATGTTATGTGCCAGAATATTAACAGTGGTTTTCTCTGGATGATGAGACCAGAGATGATTTTTCATTTCTTCCTTCACACTCTGGATTCAAGTTTGGTGGGGTTTTTTTGTTTGTTTCAAAAGCTGTTATTGCTTTTTAAATTTGGAAGGTGATTTGCTTTGCTGGGTTTGTACAAACACATAGATACCGGTGTCTCCATAAGTAAATTTTATGCTAACCACTACAAAAGTGAAAATACCCCTTTAAAGAGCAGGTAATGAGACACTTGTGTATAGACACCCCCATCTCTATAAAAATCATGTTGAATGGCTTTTGGTATTGGCTCCATCTGGTGGCACTTCAAAAGGAGGACCTGAATAATTGGATGATGACTGTAAGAATGCCCCCCAAGATTATGATGCTTCTCTCACCTCCTCCAGTGTTTTTTGTTTGGGTTTGTTTTATTTTGTCTTGTTTTTAAGAGAACCCATCTGCTTGACTACAAAAGTACCAGTTTGTACTTAGGGTATTGGCATCTAAAGGAAGCATCACAGATGTAAGGATTCTGGAGGTAATGTTTATTGTGGCCTATATTTCATCACTTCATACTCTTACCTACAAATAATGAGTTGCCCCACCATTTCCTGTTGTAGCAGCCCTTAGATTCTTAATATCTGGTTCCCTCTTTTCTGGGATTCCTAGCTCAGAAAAGGATACTCAACATCTGTTTGACATAAGAGACCAAGTGGGCTCTTCCTGTGTACAGGTGAGTCGCCCAAACAGAATGAAAGGCTTCTCGCAGAAACCTTGATACCGAAGGATGGAGGAGCGGCCTTTATGTTCAGAAAGGCATATCATTGACACAGAGCTGGAGAAGCAGAGAAAGAAAGAGAACACAGAAATGGCCATTTGTTCCCATTCTCACCACTCAATTGCTTTTCCTACTTGTAAAAGAAAAATAATCATTCTGGCTTGGAATTTCTTTTTCTAAATTCCTTTAGCCTTTATGAGTCAATATGTATGATCTTCCTGGGATTTTCTAGTTGATATTGTTATGATCTAAGAGTTCTGCATAAAATTTATATATATATATATATGTGTATATATATATATATATATATATATATATATATATATATATGAAAGACTTACTAATATCTTTTTTTCTATGACTGTTTCCTCAGGGAACTCATTGAACATGTCTGTTATTTTTATTTCTCAGTCATAAATAGCATGACTCTGAACTTCTGTAAGTTTCAGAGTCTCCATGTCTCCATCCTTCATGTTAATATAGGAACCTCATTGCTCTGGACTGAAATTAAATTGGTATACAACTGTTTTTGGTATTAGTTGGCTTAGTTAAACGGTTTCACCTCAGTCATTTTGCAGGGTGGACATAAAACAGCTTGGGCGGCGTATGCATATTTTTTTGAGCTCCATATTTCATGTAGTTGCTCATGTTGAAATTTTCTGCTATTTTTCTCTTATGTATTTTAATGGTTTGGAGCTAGTAGCAGCTAGATGGAAGGAAAAATATGTTCCTTTTTTTTCTGATAGAAGCTAAGAAGTTGTTCATACATTTCCTTGGTGTTGAAGAATGAAGTTCTGTTCACTGTTTGTGGAATCTGGTGATGCTCTGGTGAACAGCGTCGGTACCACAGTGGTTAGGGATGGGGAAGTGGCAGGAGCTGCATCAAGGCACGTCCCTGCCCACCAGCACCCTCCCCTGGTGGATGAGGAGATGTGGGTGCAATGAGGAGAGGAGCACACACGGCAGGAGGGCTGAGGGCTCTGGGCTCCCGGCTCCCTCCTGCCCAGCAGCCCTCAGTCGCAGGTGGTACAGTCAGACTCACACTGGTCCTTTTCTTGTCTCTTTCCAGGAGCAGCCTACTGCCAGTTCATGGACATGCTCTTTCCTGGCTGCATTAGTTTGAAGAAAGTAAAATTTCAAGCGAAGTTGGAACATGAGTACATTCACAATTTTAAGCTTCTGCAAGCATCGTTTAAGCGAATGAATGTTGATAAGGTAGGAGACACACTTGTACCTCCATAAAATGCATTGTCTTTGCTTAAAATGGTTTTTATGCAGAGATGCAAAAATCCAAAAATGTGTCAATGGGATATATCTTGACATCACTACAGTAGGTTGGGTCCTGTACTGAGCATAAAGCACCAACCCTCATTTCCCATATTTGCATGAGGTTTTTATTTGAGGAGATTTCTAAACTTGTAGCCATTAGACTAAAAATGCTAACAGAAATTATGAATGCTGAAATGTTGTTATTCTGTATTAGCATTGCAGATGAGAAATTTTTATGTTTGCCAGATGCCACTGTGGTTCTTTGCGTGTTTTGTTTCTTTAAAAAAATAGCATAGTACGGTAGAAATGGCACGGGTTTGAATCCCAGCACCATGACTTGAGCAAGTTATTTAAATTATTTGAGTCTGAGTTTACCCATCTGTAAAATGGGACTAAAACCCCCTTCCCTGTGGTTATGAAATTAAAGCGAGGACTGCACATTAAAGTGTCCAGTATATACACTCAGATTCTCACTCAATGTCCATAATATATTCTTTCACCCACTTTGAACTTCATAATTTTATTCTAGAGTGATACAAATGAAGTTAGACTAGAGTCCTTTTTCCCCCATAGAGGACTATTGCTGAAGCGCATTCAGGCTCTGCATGTTTTCTGCTATTCAGATACATATTACGTTCATAGTCTTTATTTAGGATATAGCTCTTGGAGAGAATAGGTTGGAAAGAAATGAATTTTGAATAAGGGAAAAGAGAAGAAACAGCAGGGGAGAAATAGAAAGTTTTCTTTTCATAGATAGTAGCAATAAATAGGCTATGGAAATAAAAATTTAAATTTTGGGGCTTCCCTGGTGGCGCAGTGGTTGAGAGTCCGCCTGCCGATGCAAGGGACATGGGTTCGTGCCCCGGTCCGGGAAGATCCCACGTGCCGCGGAACGGCTGGGCTCGTGAGCCATGGCCACTGAGCCTGCGCGTCCGGAGCCTGTGCTCCGCAACGGGAGAGGCCACAGCAGTGAGAGGCCCGCGTACCGCAAAATAAACAAAAAAAAAAAATTTAAATTTTGGGTTATAAGAGATAGAGTTTAAAAAGGAAAGAAAAGTTTGCTGAACTGTATATATTTTTTAATTTATGCAATTAATATCTTCCTAAATCAAAGCATTCTTATCAAAATATTAAGAAAATTTTGGCTTCTCATTTTCTCACAATTTTTATTGCAAAACATATATCCTCTTTAACATTTTAATTTTTTGACTCCTTTTCAACTTGATACCCTTTGCTGTGGTTAATTTCCAATTAGCTCCTTCTGTATTTATTCAAAACCAGAGTTATATAGATTCTTCTTCCTTATTAGCATCACTTCTCTGTACACTTCTGTATCATTTTTCTATACATGCTTCTAGATCAAAAAGAAAAGAAACACCCATTCATAGGTTTATTGACGGAACTTGCTATGTAACAAAGTTGGGGACTCCATATCTCCGTAGAAGTGTACACTCAAGAGAGTGGGTCAGCCATTGTTAAGAAATTTGAAGATAGGGAATTCCCTGGCAGACCAGTGGTTAGGACTCCCAGCTTTCACTGCCGAGGGCACAGGTTCAATCCTGTGTCAGGGAACTAGGATCCTGCAAGCTGTGGTGTGGCCCAAAAAAAGAAAAAAAGAAATTTGAAGATAAAATTCTTGTACTGGAGGAATGCTGACCTTTATGACCTTTGTTGGCCTCTCTAGCCTAATATGCTATGATTCTACCCAAAGATCCTGGTATAGAGACAGTGATCCCTGTTCATGTTTGTCATAGCCTGTGACAGCATGTGGAAAGCACATGTACAAATATTTCCTCGCCACCTCAGATTTTGAACTTATGACCCCGGAACTTTCATTTTGATAGGAATTGCTAAGTTAAGTCAACAGAAGTAAGTGCCTGCTTTGAATGGCTAATGCATCATCATCGTCTAAAACTGTTTATAAATGTTCACGTTTGGCAGAAAGCAAAATATAGTAGCATGTTAATTAAAGGGCCTTATGCTCCAAGAAGGTACTTTCGAAAACAATCACAATACCAGCATAAACAAAACTTACAAGTCAGAAAACATGAAAATAGTACAATGAAAAGACCTCGAAAGGGAATACTGATTGGCTCTTTAGGCTACCCTTTAAAAACACTTAATTTACACCCAGTCTTGATAAGATAGTTACAAAATACAAAAAGAAACCTGTTTAAGACATGTACCCCCATGGCACATTAACTGTGCTCCAGTGTAACCCATGAATTACTGAGCCCTGTATTGTGGTTAGTTGTTTTTATTTTATGCTTGTCTCTCTACATTGTAAAGAACTCCATGAAAGCTCATTTTGTTTCATAGGAACCGTTAGATTAGTGTGAGTTTTCATTGACTTGAGTCTTATTCATTCGTACTCTCTAATAGCTACAGTCCTTTTAAGAGCTTATTCCAACACAGCTAGACCAAGTGTTACAAAGAAATAAGGAAAACCTTTCAACCTGGAAACAGCACAACATCCCAGACCCATGTTTTGGGGGGGATATGCTTTGGCAATAAACATTCAACGAAGAGGATCAGCCCCTCTTGACAGCTCAGGGTATTCCTTGTTTCGTATGGTTTGTTCAGATGTATTAAATATTCCAGGAGAACCAACTACAACATTTTAATTTTTCTTTAATATAATGAAAAATTGTATGAATTCTGGAGTACCACTGGCTAAGACACTGGGGGAGAGGCCAGCAGACATGAATTGCAGATGTAAGGTTATATTTAGGGAACACTTCAGTTGTATTCAATACAAACAAGGCTGAGGGTCGTGACTCACCAGGTGATTTTATATTGCAGGTAATTCCAGTGGAAAAGCTCGTGAAAGGGCGTTTCCAGGACAACCTGGATTTTATTCAGTGGTTTAAGAAGTTCTATGATGCTAACTACGATGGCAAGGAGTATGACCCCGTAGAAGCACGACAAGGGCAAGATGCAATTCCTCCTCCCGACCCCGGCGAACAGATCTTCAACCTGCCCAAGAAGTCTCACCATGCAAACTCCCCGACAGCAGGTACCGTAACAATGAAATCCTAGAGTCACTTTCACAGGCCCTCCTGCGCCGTACTGTGAACCGACTCACACTTTTAAACATGGATCATCATCTCTAATCCTTCAGAGGAAATTCATGAAATATCCATCCTGTCTCCTGTGTGGGCAGTGCCAATTTCTATGTGGCAACATTCAGCAAGACCTCACTTAGCCAACTTCATCCCAAAGTGAAGTCACTGAGGATAAATACCTAGAACTTTAAAAAACGTTTTAACTATTTTAGAGAAAAATCTTTCTAAAACACATTACAAACATTCTTGCCTAGAAGACAGACTTTACCAAGCAGAATGTGTTCTTGTCCAATGAGGGTCATTATTATAAACATCAGCTGTGATACTGGAGAGTTAAACGATGAAATCCTCAGAAACCATGTGTTTCCATCCTGAACACCATTGTTCACACTTGTTAAGTCAACAGCCTTAATTCTGTAAGAATGCAACTTCCTTATTTATGCCCAACTTCCAATGAGAATTATTAGAAATGATTATAACAAGACTAATACTAAACTGTGTGGACATGTGTCTGGAACTCAAGGAAGTGTCGGCTAGAGGTAAACATTGGTGAGTCTTCCATATCCAGGTAATTGAAGCTGGAAGTGAGTCCCCAGTGAGAAGGGGAGAGTCCCTGAGGAACTCGAACATTTAATGTTTGGGTAGAAAAGGAAGGGCTTACGTAGGAGCAGGGAAGACACCAGAAAGATTGAAAGAAATGAAGGAATAACGTGTCAGGTAAATAGAAGGAAGGGAGCAGAACGGTCACCAGTGTCTAAATCTGCTGAGGAGTCAAGTACAACGAGGACTGGAAGGGTCCTTTGGGGTCACTCAGTGGAATGATGGGTCCAGGAGGGGGCTGAAGAATTGGAGAAAGGAAACTGAGACAGCATAAAAATCCAACTTCAAAGCCATAGAATAAATAAGCTTAAACAAAATAAACGAAGTACAGATCTTTGGGAATACATACATTTAAGGGGCAAGAGGAAAAAGAGGAAGCTGAGAAAAGGAGGAACATCAGGGGAAAAACCAGCTCAACATCAGAGAACAAACAGTAGGACATTTTTAGAAAGAGGGATCACCAGCAGCGCTGAGTATTAATTGTTGGAGAGATCAGATAGGATGAAGCCTGAAAATAGGCCAAAGAAAGAAATCTGGCTCCTGGGAGGTGATTAATAGTTCTTTAGAGAATTGGTCTGTAGAAATGCTGAATCCATACACCTAGATCGCAGCGGCTTATTAACAAGGGCATGACACACAAACGTGAAAGTGATGTGAGAGGAGATTCTACCTTCACCAAATCAGGAGAATAAGTGGAGGAAATAAAAACATTTTGCTGGTGTCGGGGAAGAAGCTGACAGTTGCTTTAGGAAGTAAGATTGGGGAGAGAATGGTATTGTCCTCGATTTGATTTTGTTTGCTTTTAGGACACGGCACAAGGAGCAGGTTTGTAAGATGGGAGAAAGGTCCGTGAGAAGGAATAATAGGGAAAAGGAGGGGAAACTGGTGGAACAATGACCCTGAGGCTGGAGGGAAAAAATGGGGTCAAGGGCATCGAAAGAGGTTTGGCGAGGAAAGGGAATGTTTACCTTCCTCAGAACAGAAGTGCTGGGAAGAGTTTGGGTGAAAATGAAGCCACAGGGAGTTTGGGGAACAAAAGTTTATGGCAGTTCAAACAGGCCTTCAGCTTTTGTCGGAAAGTGTCATTATTCTAGGACCAGGATAGAGAAGGGGAGTGGTGTGTCTCCTTCAGAGCTGGGGAGACACAGGCAGATGGAGTTGGGGGACAAGGAGGTACGAAAACCAAGAGCAGCTGGTAGCTCTCACCGCAAGCTCTTTTTCTGCAGCTGCTAATGAGGTACAGATTCATCTTGAAACTCAGCTGCTGCTTTTTCAAGTTTTCAGCAGTGGAACCGGACAGGCCTCAGAACATTTTTCTTCTGCAGTCATAACGTGTCCTTAAACTGGCACCAACCATTCTAACCCCACCCCGCCCCCAAACAGAACTGTCATTATACTGCCTTGGCCTCATTTTCAAGGAGTTCCCTCATCTGTCTTTCACAAAAGCCACAGAGAAACTTGTGCCATTTTGATAGAAAGAATGTCCATGAACCTGGAAAAGAAATACGTTGTTTCCAGAGCTTAACTTCTCTGGTGACAAAGCTCAGGAAACACATTAAAGTCAGCAGATCATAAATTTGGTTTTTAATGTTCTGGAAGACAGTATTGCCAAGGCTTGTGTTCCTGATACCTCAACCATGTTTACCTCATTGGTCTTAATCAAGGAGGAAGGCTATTTCCAGAAGTCAGACCAGTCATACGGTTTTTTATGAGACATGTTCTGACTCTTGGACATGGTGGGGTAGTAAAACTATACTGAAAAAATTATAGCAAGGTATACATCACATGTAGAACATTGTTTTAAAAGCTATAGTAGGAGAAAGGCTCCTATAAATACAATGAGACCTCATTTTTTTTCTAGAGGTCATGTATCCAACTCTTGGGAAAACAGCCAAGAAAGTGTAAGCCAAAACGTCTTCTAAAAGTCAGAATAGGTGTTGTAAAATCTGTGCTATAAAATTCATACACTTTACTCTTTCCACAAGGGAGAGTTCCTAGAATACTTACCCAGAGTCTATTTGCTCTTTCTTTTATATATATTTATTTATTTTTAAAATTGACATCTAATTAAATGTCAATTAAATTGACATCTACACCACATTATATTAGTTTCAGGTGTACAACGTAGCGATTTGGCATTTGTACACATTGCAAAATGATCACCACAATGATTCTAGTTACCATCTGTACCATACAAAGTTAATAACGATATTATTGACTATATTCCCCATGCTGTACTTTACACCCGCATGACTTATTTATTGTATAACTGGAAATTTGTACTTCTCGACCCCCCTTTATTTGCTCTTTCTTTACTTGGATATAATTATAACAAACATGGGGATATGGTTTCTCAGCGTGTATCTTATAGGGCAAGGAGTATACTGATAGCACTACAAAGTGTGAACATCAGTAAAAGAAGAGCCAAAAAATCTTAATGAAACCTTATAAATAGTCCAGCAGCCTGAGATCTCTATTGCTGAATCAAAGAGCTCCGTGTCTCTCAGTAGCCCTCAAGATCTGTATGACACCAGCATGTACTAATCGATCCACTCAGAGTTCCCTTCTAATTTTTAAGATTTTAATTTTCTATTTATAATCATCTCTCCCATGAACTATTTTACAGTCTCTAAACTAGCCTCTCTGCCTCTGGTCTGAAACCATTCGAGACCATCCTCGTCGTACATAAGTCTGATTGTGTCCATCCAAAATTTAAGACAAATTAAAGTGCTTGATGAGGTGAGGGTCAGCTGTCTGGGAAATTCACATATCTATGCCAGTCATCTCCCAGTGATGCCAGGTCAGTAGCATTCAGCAGTAATTTCTGTGCCCATCTCTAGGCCTTGGTCGTTTCTTAATCATCTGTATTAGTGGAAACAAGCAACGTCTGGTGTAATCGAAAACAGGAGATGGTCTTTAATTAGTTTTTCATTTTGGCTTTGGGATATTTGGTTCGTTTTGCAGTGGCTTTACCTCTCTCCAAATATATCCTTAAACTAATATTAAAAGTAATTTGCATGTCCTGACTATAAAACGTGCTAGATTTTTCTGCCGTTTCAGTATAGACACCAGTATTCCGTGGGTTCAGAGAAGCCATAGAACCCGTTGGTGTCTGTGTGTATTTGGGTGACTTACCTGGGCCGTAACAAGCTTCAGCATGAGCAGAGGCTGTCGCTAAGGGTGGATGGCTGCCTGGCAAGTCTTATTCTATCTACATCCTGAGGAATTGCATCTTGAATTGCTTTTGATCTACCAACAAGGAGCATATGTTAAAATACACATTTTTATAATGACAGATATCTATTAAGTGCATATGTCATCGTGAGTCATGATGTTTATAAATTTATTGCTGTGAGCCATATCTGCAACTCGAGATAGCTGTCAGCGGGATCAGTTTTTATGTGTGAGCACTTAACTAAACTTAAAACGAAATTTGAGGTTGTGGTTCCTATAGCAACCACAGCTTAGACATGTTGCAAATCCACATATATTAATGCATTGAAATCAAACTCCCATATACAAATATAGTGTGATGGATTTAGAGTTGCTATGGAAATTGATTCTGAGCTTTCTCTTTTCCTTAGGGACTTTGCTTTAGGCATTGCAGCCTCAAAATAAGATTAGTAGAAATACTAGAAAAATGATTTCAAAAAGGAAGCAAGCTAAGAAGTAGAATTGAATAGAATAAACATTTGAATGATCATAATTAAATTCCTAAATGGAGATTTAAATAAATCCTGACAGCGACTTTCAAAAACTGTATTGAGTATTTGAATACTCTCACTCTTAATTATCTTTAATTTGGGGTTCTCTAATGCTGTTCATACAACCTTAACAAAGTGATTATGTTTATTGATTTTATTTGCTTACCAGTGTTTGCATATTCTTTGAGTACCTGTAATCTAAGGAAGCATCGCCTATCACCTTTGCAGGAAGAAGAGTTGCTTTTACTTTCCCCAAAGGTTTGGGGGTTTTGGGGTTTTTTTTTTAGGAGAAGCAATGCAATGTAGCAGTTTACAGGGGTTTTTTTTATCCTTGTTCTGATCTTGATTTTCTGACCCAGAATGTGGTCTCCCTTGGTCAGTGTCACTTGAAAAGAATATGCATTCTGCAGTTGTTGGTCGTATGGTGTTTTAGAAATATCAGTATCAAGGTAGTGGATGGTGTTATTCAGATCATCTATGTCTTTACTGATTTGTTGTTGTTGTCTTGTTCTAACAATTGCTGCAAAGAGAGTGTTAACATTTATTGTGGAATTACCAGTTTGTCCCTTTAATTCTCTCAATTTTTGTTTCCTGTATTTAGGGTTCTGTTGTTAGATACATAGATATTTCTGATCGTTGAGTCATGC